AGATCTTTGTTTCCTTTATTTGGAATCGATGGAAATGCAAAGCAATTTGGAATACTACAGGGCAAAAAAAAAAAAATCTGCATTTCTATCCAAAACAAACCCTGAGGTCCCCAATACAACATTTCAAGGAAGTTTGTGCATAGCAGAGTGGGGTGGTGACTGTGCAGTTCACTCTGTGTTGACACAGCCAGACTTCTGTTTAATGTAATTATTTTTGGTGAGCCCAAAAGTTCTGTTTCCCACATTGTGGGGGTTTTATTTCGGAGCAAATTTTAGGCTTAAAAACATAACATAAATACATCACCCTATAAAGGTTTTCATAAACTTTGAGTATTTTTACATTTGGACCTGTTTTAACCACACAGTTGTTGGAGATGCAGACAGTTATGGTATCTTAAAAGTATTTTTAAATTTGAACTTTGCTCTCACATGAGGAGATTTTTTCAATTTTTTCTGTTTTCTACATAGCTTAGAGTTGGTATTTTTACTGACTTATTTACAAAATGCTTTACTAATAGTTGTCCTACCAACAGATTCTCCAACCTGAGCTGTAAAACCCAGCAGCTTCTTCTGAATGATTGTGGGGCCGTGTCTTTTTCCTAAATTAGAGCTTATTTTGCTTATTGTTTATGTTTACTCTGCCTTTAAGTTTTTCATAACCTTAAAGCCTGTGAAGTGTGGGCTTCATGATGCTGATTGTTTTATAAAAAGAATCAAAGAATAGCTTAATGTCTAATAAATGATTTTATGTAAAAGTCTCCTTCATGCTCATTCTAAAGGAAATATTAGGCTGTTATGGACATCACTGAAGGAATTAGGTTGGGTTATTATACAGATTATTTGTAAAGGAAAAAGCATTAACGTTCACGGCAATATTGGGGGAAAAAAAGTCACTGAAAATTTGTCTGTATAATAAAAAAAACTTCCACAAATATTCTTTGCAAAATCTGAGAACTGCACTACATGTCTGTAAAGGACATTCTGATTCAGATAGAAATACTCGCTAACAAACAGCGTCCAAAGCTGCTGAGAGAAACTAGATATTTTTCTGGTGCAGGAAAGTATGGAGCAGAACAGCTTCGTAGAAAAGAATGGATTTAAAGATTATGGTTTGGAAACAAGAAAGCTTGCTTAGCATGCCAAAAATGATCGATTATAGTCCTTGATGGCTGTTCTTCTGGGACTATATCATTACCACATTTATCTGATGGTATCCAAAGTAATGAGAGAATGGAAACATGGGGAAAGGAGGAAAAATACAGATTTGTTGCCATGTTTGTACATGTGTACCCACTCTAATATTTGAGACACTTTACCCAATGCCTTAATGGAATATTTTCTGCTCTTTAATAACTAGGAACTATTGTTTTCCTACGTGTCGCCTCTTTAGAACCACTCAAGGACATTACAAGACTACAGTGCATGCATAAGACCAGCTAAGGAGTAAAATAGCTGGCATTTCCCCCAAGGAGAACTGATAAACTGTTTGACAGGAAAGGCCGTGCAAAAGACCGCATTCCTCGTCAACCTTGTAAGGCTATTTTTACGACTGAGGGGCCTTTAGAGCAGGCATCTTTTGTTAAGCCCTGCAGTGTGGAACAGGAAAGCCTGGTTTGAATTGTGTCCTAAGAGTTTGGCCCCAATCTCAGTCTCTTGTCACAATCTACACATCCATCCTAATCCAGTTCTGTTTGTGGGCTGTCTTCACCCATCACTACAGATGAACTCTCTGACTCTGTGGCACTATTGACTAACTCTTGACTCCAAAGAGATGGAATTGGGCCAGAGTTCTTTCAAGTATGTCTAGACAATGAAAATAATCCATATTACCAACAGTGAATTTGGAGAGTTTCCCAGAAAATATCTGAGATCTGTCTAGATTGCTTTAGCTCAGCCTCTATTTTTCTTACAAAAGGATGTTTGTTCTTTTCATGTTTATATACACTGTTTATTCATTTTTTTTTACAGGGAGATTCCTCTGATTAAAAATCCCTTAGAGGCAAAAGTCCCCTTCAGGATAATCTGTTTGTCTTGTGTCGGTACAGTGTCATTTGTCAGTTCCTGAGAGTCACTGTGGGCATGCTTTGTGGGATAAGAAGCCAAATTAACACCCTGGTTAAAAGGAGAGAAGATTAATATTAAGGCATAAACCGGAAATCATTCACATTTGTGCAAATGGATATCAGTGGTTGAGGCAAGAAGTGTGGATTCCTGGTTTTCACAATCTTTAACATTATTTGACACTTTAAAGAAATGAAAAATCTGTTTTCTGGTAGACTGAATTATCTTCCAGTATCATGTGACCATCTTGAATTTTATTAACTGTATCACCAGATGCTGAAATATTTAAAAATTATTTTCTAAACCAGGGGTCTTCAACATTTTCCAGGCCAAGGACCCCCAAACTGATGGTGAGCGGGGACACCCTAATTATATATATTGTATGAAATAGTGTTCTATCAAACTGGTCCTATAGTCACTCTATTACAGATGGAGTAATGTAACTAAAGTAATTTCTCCCTGGGATTATTAAAGTATTTCTGATTCCTGGTTGATGGGACAGGTGTTGTGAATGAAACGGTGCCCAGCTTGAAAGAGCTCCTTTGTGTCTCTGAATGTGTGCATTGATCATGGGTGGTTCTAGACAGGGGCCAACCGGGGCCAGTGCCCCCTATAGATCATGTTCTGGCCCCTGTTATGGCCCCTGTACTGAATACATAATACTCTAAATTCTAATGATGATATGCGCTGGAACAGAGATTGTTACTGTTACGTTCTTTGGATCTATTTAATTTTTCTTCTTTACAAATTCTGTTTTACCAATTATTGAAAAACAATAAGGTGATAGCTTCAGTGGTATTGAGATAGGATCCCAATCCCCATCTGCTATATGTTTTTTCAAAACAAATGGCTCTAATTTTTACAGCTGAATTTATCTGTTTTTCTTGAGTTCTAATTCAGATTTTATAGAAACCGGTAATTTTAACTTAAAGTCAGAAATATGTAAAAATTCCTAAATTCTGAATGTATATTGACATAAGAGGACATATCATTTTAATGAAACCTAATTGAACAGAAATTTTATTTCATGCAGCTATATTCGTATATTTGAATCGTTTGCCCTGTTTTTTATTTCATGTTTTTCTGTTCCCCCATGAAAACACGCTGGCCCCCTCCTAGCCCCCTGGTACATTTGGTCTAGAACCACCACTGGCATTGATGACTGAAAGACATCTCCTGCCTCCATTTATCTTTTTACTACAGTGTGTTTAATTCATGTTAATATGTATTTAAAGACATTTTAATTAGTGGAAAAAATTGCAGAGAATAAAAAAAAAAAAAAAAAAAAAGTCTACCCAACTAAAACTTTTGCGACCCCCATGCAGTACCTTCTTGGACCCCCTAGGGGTTGCAGACCCTTGATGAAGACCTAAGGTCTAAACAATTAAAACATATTAATAGGTTGGTGATTTCAGAAAGGCGTTCACAAAATCAAAAGTATTGTTTTAGGAAAATGCAGAAACTTGTTGGTAAATATAGCTTTTCAATATCTCGATTCAGAAAAGTTACACAGTTAACCCCTTGAACCCTACGGACCCACCGGCGGGTCCAGCTGCTACATGACCTCGTAATTTTACCAAACCCCCAGTATTGATGTAAAAAACACATTTGGCACAGTTTGGTGACATTTATGGATAAATGTTCCAAAATGGCCTCTCCGCCTAAGAAATTTCTCACTAATACCATTCTAAAATAAATATGATTCATCTGATTGAGTCCACATTTTGTATATTTTTACACAACATTTAGATTTGAAAGTCTGTACTACTTTTTTGTGCTATAAATAATATTTTGGTAGTGTTTTGCAATGTTTATTTCAAAGAAAATTTTGGCGAGGTTCAAAAAATGCAAAATATTTTGTATTTTGTCCCTAATATTTCAGGCAGGGTCAAAGCTACAATGGTGCTGACACCAGAAAACCATTCTATGGCATCTTACCTTTACAGATGTACCAAAAGTTTCTTCTTAAATCTAATAGCTTTGAGGCTATAAGTTATTCACTTTTGTGTGTTTTTGTCAGGCAGAAATTTATTTATACCCCCTTAGGGTGTAAGAGGTTTTAAACATAGATGCACAGCATGTATTCGGTTAGAAAACTGTTATACAGTGAAAACCTGGCAAGACTCCTGTTCAACACTCAGCTAAAAGAGTTGGGTTGAGCAAGAAGTATATTCCCATATAATAAAGAAAACATGAATAGCACTAAATTGATTTTATTTTTACAACTTCTGTCTGAGGATCTGTTCATAAAAGTGACATGAAAAGCACTTAAAAGCAATAGCAATAACAGATTTGTCTTTATACAGCTTAGAAAAAAGACACCGTTAGATAAAGAAGCACAAACTCTGGCAATGAGTAAGTCACTGAAATCACTGTAAATGCTTGAAAAACATGAGAGTTTTGGGACACTATCTACAAAATAAGATTAAAAACTCTATATCTTCAGGATTTATACTCTATATATTCAGACCAATGCTGCCTTTTCTGACACTAAAGCTTTGAAATATGCTGGTGTGAATAAAGGCTGTATTTTTGCTTTCTCAAGAAATTTATTTCAAAATTATATTCACGACTTTTCACAGAGAAAAATACCAAATCATTTTTCTGATGGAATAGAGGAGCAGTAATGCATTCTAAGTATTCTAAGTTCTCTCTAAGGTTTAAAGCAATAAATGTTTTATTTCTGTTTTCAGCAGGGATGTATATTCTTAGTGTCATTCTGTCATTTTGATGGATTTACACCAATATTGCTTTATAAAAGCCTGTGTGTGTAAAAATAATTGTGCTATAAGATGATCAGAAAGGATTGCCAGAAAAAACATTTTAATGTCTGCTTGTGCATTCTACCTTTTGTTTATTTTAATATGCTTTGAGGTTTCCTTTTTCCTCTCCCAACATCTGCATTAACCGTTTCCTTCTGTTATCTTTTCCTCCTTCAGAGCCTAGATGAGCTGGATGATGACGATGCAGGAGAAAAAGACAGAAGGGAGGAAGAGGAGCTGGTTCAGGCCAACACTTTCCAGAACGAGTCCCTGATAGTTGACCCAGCTACTGGCTACTTGGTGGTAAGAGCTTCAAACACACGCTGGCGATGTCTTTCCCCAGCCTGCTGCGATCAGAACGCTGCACAGATTGGTACTTTAGTCCTGCCAAACAGAGGCACTGTTGCACAGGGAGACACAGGGAGCGAAATGAATAAAGCAGTGATGCAAAACCCAAAGGTGTCTCACCATTTCATCATTTCTGAGAACACAAATAAAAAGAGAAATGAAAGACCTGAAAATGCCTCTAAAACTGTTTAACTTTTGGTGAAGGCATGTCCTTAAGAGGAGGTGTTTAAAAATAAAAAATGTTACCTCTCTGAGTTACATTCAGACTGTATTACCACCTCTTTTTATATATGTTTGCTTTGTGGAGATTTTTTTCTAAGCTTGCCATGCAGCAGTGTGATTATTATGTTGAAGAAGGAACCTTTGTAGAGAAAGAATGCACTTCCTCCTATTAACTTTGATAAGTGTTCTGAAAAATGAAAGCAAAAGCAAATTCATTAAAAACATATTCATAATTTAAGTCTTCTTTTTAGTGCTGCTTGTTTAAAAAAACAAACCCACCATCTTCTTTCACATTAGCTTCAAATGAACAAATAGTGATTTCCAATAAAAATCCAAACACAGAAGGGGGCTGAGAGTCATCCAGCTGTGTAGCAGTGACTACAAACTAATTTAGCTTTTTATTTCTGACTGACATGAAAATTACCTTTTTTTTTCAAGCAAGAAAAAAAGAAATCAGTTAAATCTTCGCTGTGTGAGAACTCGGTGTTGATGAAGATTGTCGTCATATTCCAGATGGGTTGGATGTTTTGCATCAGTGGGCTTATTTTGTTTTGGGCTGAAACTGTCTGAGGTTGTTTACATAAGCAGAGACTTGTGTATGAAATATGTACACAAATACCATGCTAACAGGAAGAATGTGATGGCACCTGCTGAGACATGGTCTTTATAAAAAAAAAAAAAAACTAAACAAAGAACATTTGGCTATTTACCAAGTTACTGGTAAACAAATTCAATTAAATTCAGTTTATTTATATTGTGCCAGTTCACAACACGTGTCACCTCAAGGCACTTTACAGTTCACCAGATCATGCAGTCAAATTGATTCAAAGTTTTCTAAGGAAAACCAGTTGATTGCATCGACTCATTGACTCAAAGGCAATCCCTCAAACTCAGCATGCTTGTAGCGACAGTGGAGAGGAAAAACTCCCTTTTAACAGGAAGGAACCTCAAGCAGAACCAGGCTCAGTGTGAGCGGCCATCTGCCAAGGCCGACTGGGGTTCAAGGAGACAGAAGCAGAGATACAAAAAGCGACTGTAAAAGGTGGCCCCGTCCAGCGAACACACAGCCAGGCAGACGAGCTCCAAGCCGGCTCCCATGCCTGATGACAAAGAAAGCGCATCCAGCCAGCCACAGCCAGAGAAACAGGACCACACCAAGAAACAGGCCGATCTCCAACACCTAAAAACAAAGGTTTTAATGGCTGCAGCACAGCTGAAGGCTTTTAACTATAATTTGTGGACTTCCTGACAGTAAAGAATTACAATAGTCCAGCCTTGAAGTAACAAATGCATGGACTATTTTCTCCGCATCACCCCTGGACAGGAGATTTCTCATTTTTGCAATATTGCCCAGATGAAAGAAGGAAGCAAACGGTATGAAGTTCAGCTTTTATCTGATTTAGCTGAGGAGACGTCATCAGTCTATTAGTTTAGAAGAGATATATATTAGAGCCCGAGAAATACGAAAGACAAACGTCACAATTTTCATTTTTTCCTTTTCATTGTTTTTTTTTTTTTTTTTTCTGATCCAAAAACAAACCTTTGTAGTTGTGCTCCCAACTAGATGCTACCAAACCTCCCTGGAGCCAATATATCAGCTGGTAGGGTTCAATGTAATCATGGAATGGATGTTTGTCATAAAAAAGATGCGAGTCTTGACAGGAAACAGAGATTTCTCAAAATGTAAATGGATCAGATTGTTTTTTTTCCTCCCTCACCAGAAGCAGTCACTCTACAAGAATTATTTTTGCCCCAGGATAATCTTAAATGATCAACCAAAAACTCAAGGAAATAAACTCTGCACTTCATTGCTGTACAATAGTAGATTACCATTGCATAGTCAACAGTCAGACCATCAAAGCAACTTAGAGTATTTATTAAAAGCATAAGGGTTTTCCTTACTGTCGGTATAAAGAGTGAGCTGACATCCAGAGTTAACTGAAAGTAAATCTAAAAGAGAAATTTTCAGCAAATTCCATTCACTTCTGTTAGGTTTTACAAAATGACTGAATGATTTGTTAAAAAAAGGTTTTCTTTACGATTTTGGCATTACAAAGGCTTTTTATCTAAAATATATATTAAAGGCTGAATGGAGTTATTGCACCAATTTTAAAGCCTTTAGTCTCAGATATAAACACTATACTGGTGTTAATGTTTCATGCATTGATACCCAAAGTTAAAATCATTACTCCTGGTCAACTTGGTGCTTTTTAATCGATTACGGTATAAGAATAAATACTGTCTGACTGGATTAAGCTACATACATTATTACAGTTTGAAATGGAAAACTAAAAATCTGTGACCAGAATTCCTGCTAAATTTAATCTTTCACCTCCATGTATTACAGAAAAACAGATGTGGATGAGGAGGATCTTGCCAGTCTTTTCTCTCTGTCACTCATTTAAAACATGGTTTTGTTTCTGACAGCCTTCGCTATAAGCAGCAAGGATACATTTTTACTGTGGTTTCCCCGCACAGCTATCAGACGTGCTTGTCGAGCACCTCATATCATAAAGAGACAAGTGATTGCCATGGCAGCAGCATTATGATATACAGTCTTCACCTGCTTGCTGGTATGAAGATATCTGGAGGAAAAACTCTTCAAAAGAAGCTCAGGTTCAGATTCTTTTCAGAGCTGCATCTGATCGTTAAATCTCTCTCCAAGTTCCAGGGCACTACTTCCAAACAAAACAAGCCGTAAATTTTCTTTTCATAACAAAAGGTCCGACTTATGTTTATGAGCATGGAAAACTCTTTGGCATCCGTGTGTTTTCATGTTTTAGCTCTGTGATTCTTCTGCAGACATGTGGTCCTATTTAACAATCAAGTCCTACAGGAAGGGAAATTTCATAATTAAATGCTGTAACATATTGAGCATAACTTAAAATGATCTGCTTTCAATGTGACAGCAGGTTTGTCTCCCTCTCACCCAACCTGGAGCAGATAAACGGATTACTATCTAGAATAAACTCTTTTACCAGCATCACCTACTTTAATTATCACACAGGGTTCTGACGAGGAACATCTTAGAAAAAACAGGGAATTGTTTAGCCACCTTCAAAGGCAGCAGCTCCTTTTCCTTGGTTCCCTTTTCTATATGAAAGGATGTGTGATCAAATTAACACCTCTTCATCACAGATCACAGCTGAGGTATTTATCTCTGTCTGTAATAATGCAAGTAAGGTAATACTGTAGATAAGACAGTGTTTGAAATGTGAGCTTACTTTTGTAGTCAGAAAACTTAGGTATAAATGGATGGTTTACCTAAAGGGACAACAGAAATGTGCATTAAATGGTTTAATACTAAATGCTTTTTTGCTCTAAAAAAAAAAAAGTGGAGGCATTTCAAATGAAAAGATGAAAACCAACTTGGAGATAATTTTCTTTAAGCATTGAACGCATCAGTCTAGATGAAAGCAAAGGTTGAATGTGCCCTTACCACGAACACTTGACTCGTTTCCACCTTTACTCCATCAAATATTGACATTTTGAAATCTTTTTCTTCAGCTGGTGTCAAACTCTGACAGCATCTTAATAAAGTGTGTGAGTAGTGAGAACCATTTTGTCTAACAATAGGCCTGTAAGGCACAGAGGAATCAGATTTAACCTTGATAGTTCCAGTTAAATGTTGAGTAAATGTCAGTAAAATGTTTTCATTTAAAAAACACTTTTTCCATTTGTCTCCCAGGATCAGAACCTTTGCTCTTCCTGAAAAGGCCACATGCTTTTTTTTTTTTTTTGCGGAATTGCTAGATGCATCAAGAAGAAAATGCAGATGCTCGGTACTAGTCTAAATGTATCCCTGTTTGGTGACATAAAACACAATAGTTCAAATTATATTATAAGCAGAGTCTATAAATGCTGAGATAATTTTGTATTGAGCCATCTAGACTTAAAATAGACCTTAAATGTCCAAACCTTATATTAATTCCAGTTTACATGACCCAGGCTGACCAGAGATCTGAACAAACTCTATAAATGCTTTTAAAATGGCTTTAAAAATATTATTGTTCACTTATAAAAATTTGATTACTTTGCAGATATATCTGTGTCGGAGCTCTGAAGCATACTGGCATAAAGAGGCTTACTGCTCTTTATGGACCAACCTTTGCTCTTAAATTCCTACACCTAACTGATGCGTTTAGGTGTCTGAAACTCTGTTTAATGATGCAACAAATTGAATTTTGGAGGGTTGTTTCTTTCTGTTTAGGTTATGTGCTGCTCTTCATTAGGGCCGCCCTAAATTAACTTTTTCATTTCTGACACGATTCTGTTATAGCTTTGAGTATTGACCAATCAGGTCCAATTTTAGCACAAATTATACTTACTTTCATTACTTATTTTGTAATGTTAAACACGGATCAAAAAGGTATGAGGAAAAACCGACCAATTTATTATTAACTGATGAGTGACATAAACTTTAAACAGAAGATGGAAGTGGAGTGCTTTTATCAGCTATTTATATTGCAGATTCTAGATGCAGTTTGATATATATTCTATATTTGTTGAAAAATAAAATTGTAAATGAAAAAATTGTTTCTGTTTGTATAAAGTAAAGGCAAACAGGTGAAAATTATTAGCAATTAGCAAAACACACTCAATAAAGGAGTGGTTCTGCAGGTGGGAACCACTGAACACTTCTCAATACCTATGCTTTCTGGCTAATGTTTTGTCCCTTTTAGATGGTGTTGGTGCTTTCACACTCATGGTAGCATGAGACGGACTCTATAACCCACTCTAGTGGCTCAGGTAGTGGAGTTCATCCAGCTGTCGCAAGGTTTGCTCTGTCTGTCAGTGTAGTGTCGGAGGCTGTAGGAGGGCAAAGCCCTAGCAGCAGGACCGCTACCTTCCACCTTTGAGCAAGGAGGAACAGGAGGAGCACTGCCAGAGCCCTGCAAAATGACCTCCAGCAGGCCACAAATGTGCATGTTTCTGCACAAACGGTTAGAAACCCACTCCATGAGGAAGGTTTGAGGGCCTGACGTCCACAGACGGGGGTTGTGCTCACAGCCCAACACCATGTAGGATGCTTGGCATTTGCCAGAGAACACCAGAATTGGCAAATTCACCACTGGCACCCTGTGCTCTTCACAGATGAAAGCAGGTTCACACTGAGCACATGAGTCTGAAGACACTATGGTGAGGGATCTGCTGCCTGCAACATCCTTTAGCATGACCAGCTGGACAGTGGGTCAGTAATAGTGTGGCGTGCCATTTCTTTGGCGGAACAATCCTCCATGTGCTCACCAGAATTAGCATGACTGCCATTAGGTAAAGAGATGAGATCCTCAGACCCCTTGAGAGACCATCTGCCGGTGCGTTTGGCTCTGGGATCCTCATAATGCAGGACAATGCTAGACCTCCTGTGGCTGGAGTGTGTCAGCAGTTCCTGCAAGATGAAGGCATTGAAGCTATAGAGTGGTTCGTTCGTTCCCCAGACCTGATTCTGATTGAGAAGATGTGGGACATCATGTCTCAATCCATCTACGAGAGTCACGTTGCACCACAGGCTGTTCAGGAGTTGGTGAATGCTTTAGTCTAGTTCTGGGAGGAGATCCCTCAGGACACCATCTACCACCGCATCATGGAGCATGCCTGGGTGTTGTAGGGAGGTCATACAAGCCTGTGGAGGCCACAGACAATACTGAGCCTCATTTTGACCTATTTTAAAGTCATTACATCAAAGAATATTTTTGTTTGATTTGGTTGTCAGCAGATTCAACTTTCTACAGAACAAAGGATGCTTTATTTGAATGTTCCCTTTATTATTATGAGCAGCGTATATTCACAGATTTCCTTCATATTTTAAAGAAGTTTAGAATTTTATTAATTTTACCTGTCTAGATAAAGTATTGGGTAACAATGAACAATATACTTTCCCCCTCTGTTAATGTCTAAATGTTGGATCAATCATTTAATCTATTTGTCTTCTCACCCATCAATCTGTTTAATGTTTAGCTCTCCTCCTTTTGTCAGTTTTTAGATTCAAATTAATAAGCTGAAATCAAAGGAAAATATTTTTGAATAATTAAAGTACTAAACTTAGAACTTCACACGTCTGGTATCTTTAATATGGGAAAGTGGGACATTTTGATGGCATTTTAAGGGCTGCGGGACTCACACCAACCAGTCTTTGTTGAGAGAACAAGACTAACTGCCTTCTCATAAGTTTAATATCCTTAATCTTGCTTCCTGGTTTCCAGTAGATTTCAGAAATGCACATAAAAAGAGGAGCTTAGAAGATTTATCCAGTTAGAATCATGAATAATTAAGTATGTTTGAGGTTTTGATTAAATGCACAGATGGCTTTGTGTGTTTACTCTGGTTATGTATTCATTCCGTTATTGGGGGATGTATTTCTGTGTTGTATTGCCTGTGTTGCTCTGCTTCCAATGAGCTTTAAAGCACGGGCGCAGCAGCAGTTTGATTGCTAATGGAAGCCATGACACATCAAGCTCAGATCAGGAAGAATTTATTTCCCTTCACAGATTTCTCATACTTTATTCAACATATGCCATTGTGCGGAGGCACGGGAGTAAACACACATTTAGGTGGCATATTTATTTAAATTGGTCTTTTTGATTGAGGTAAACAGTCTGTAGATGTGTTTTGTGGATGCAAATATAATAAAGTGAAAAAGAATAGAAGAATCTTTTGTCTTCCAGTTCAGACATTTCCATGAATTAAGAGTAAGGTCAGGAGTTAGTTAAATACTTCTAACTGTGTCATTTTTTAGGGTGTAGGAGCTGTACATCCAAATTAATTTTTGTTTTAAATTTGACCCATTTCTGCCTAAATTCATGTTTCTGCTGGAAATGTACTGAAATCTTGCAAAAATCACACTTTACTGACCTTCATCCTTTCATATCTCAGAGATGAAGGTCACAATCCGACTGCAGGTATCGCACGGTGTGTCATTCTCCAAGATGGCTGCATGTGGAAGGGTGAAGCAAAAAAAAAAAAGCTCTGACTGATGGAGCCCAGCAGTCCCATAGCTCTTCAATCAACCTTAGGACCCTTCACTACCCAGAACCTCAGGAAAAAGGAGATCCGTATTTATCTCTCAGAACTGGTGACACACACTTCATTTTCTCAGAAGCGTGGTTTTCCTGAAGGCAATGCCACTCACTGCAAAATAGATCTAAACAATCTTTAGATCTTTTTTAGATGATAAAATAATGGGGAGAAAATAAGAAAAACAACTTCCACTTCCATGTTTCAGAAAAAGATTGCCTTTTCCAACTTGAGGCTACAGAGTTCCTGTTGAACTATGAAATGAAACAAAGCCCATCTATATCAGCTCAGCAGATGCTGCTTTTGAACTTTCATACACAACCTTAAGGCTACTTCTAAATGCTCCTCCTGTTGAATTTATTTTCTTTCTCTGGATGTTGTTGTTGTTGTTGTTCTCATGTTGAGCTAAAACAACCTAAGGCAGATGAAACCAACTCTGATGTTTTTCTGCTAATGCATTGTTTATGCAAATAAGAGATAATTCTTTCCATTTGTTTTGCAGGAAACCCCAAGAGCTGGATCTGGACGTTATAAGAGGTGAGAGTCTTATTTAAAATTTGGAGAAGTTCAAAGTCTTATGTTTTCTGACAAATCTGTCAAGAGAGCGAATAGAAGCCTGGAGATAATAACTGCTAGACTTTATCTGAAATTGTTGGACTGTTTAGATTTCAGTGACATTTTCTTCCCTCAAAGCTTGTTTCTTGCTGTTATGGTTCAAAAAGGATGATGGCTAATGGCTGTTTTTTGAACAGTAGCTGACAGGACACCATCTGGACCTATGACACTTTGTTCAGGGCATCACTTCCATGCTGTGGCAGGCATGCGGTGCTGAAAGTAAATGGCTTGCTTTGAAAGGTTTGGTGGAAAATGACTGGGTCAGTTGGGTTTAGCTTCGCTTCGGCATTTGATGAAAGGCTCTAACTTTTTCCTCTCATGGACATCTACGGGCATTATCTTTGTATCCATTCCTACCACATATGTTTCCCTTTTAGCATATTGTTCAGTTTGTTAAGAGGTTTCCTTACTTTTTCCCTTTGCTTTTACTATCAAGTATACAGTGCAATAATTATTCCTTTTGCTGCCTGTGCAATCAAAGTGAGCAGTTGTAGTCCATCCCAAATCCCATTTCTCAGGCAGACATCCAATCTGTCTGTGTAATTAGGGCTTCTGCCCCATCAGCTGGCCTTGCTACACTTGGACGCTCTGCAATCCTGCAGCAGATAACCTGCCAGGTGGGCTGGGCAGTATGAGAGGGCTAAGAGAGAGACAATACAAAGCACTTTGCAATTTACAGGTGCTGGTCATAAAATTAGAATATCATGAAAAAGTAGATTGATTTCAGTAATTCCATTTAAAAAGTGAAACTTGTATATTATATTCATACATTACATACAAACTCATATATTTCAGATGTTTATTTTGTTTAATTTTGATGATTACAAATGACAACAAATGAAAATCCCAAATTCATCATATCAGAAAATTAGAATATTACTGAAGACCAATAAAAACAAAGGATTTATAGAAATGTTGGCCAACTGAAAAGTATGAACATGAAAAGTATGAGCATGTACAGCACTCAGTATTTAGTTGGGCCTCCTTTGTCCTGTATTACTGCAGCAATGCGGCGTGGCATGGAGTCGATCAGTCTGTGGCACTGCTCAGGTGTTATGATAGCCCAGGTTGCTCTAATAGTGGCTTTTAGCTCTTCTGAATTGTTGGGTCTGGTGTATTGCATCTTCTTCTTCACAATACCCCATAGATTTTCTATGGGGTTAAGGTCAGGAGAGTTTGCTGGCCAATTAAGAACAGGGATACCATGGTCCTTCAACCAGGTACTGGTAGCTTTGGCACTGTGTGCAGGTGCCAAGTCCTGTTGGAAAATGAAATCTGCATCTCCAAAAAGTTGGTCAGCTGCAGGAAGCATGAAGTGCTCTAAAACTTCCTGGTATGTGGCTGCGTTGACCCTGGACCTCAGAAAACACAATGGACCAACACCAGCAGATGACATGGCACCCCAAACCATCACTGACTGTGGAAACTTTACACTGGACTTCAAGCAACGTGGATGAAGTGCCTCTCTTCTTTTCCTCCAGACTCTGGGACCTTGATTTCCAAAGGAAATGCAAAATTTACTTTCATCAGAGAACATGACTTTGGACCACTCACCAGCAGTCCAGTCCTGTTTCTCTTTAGCCCAGGCAAGACGCTTCTGACGCTGTCTGTGGTTCAAGAGTGGCTTGACACAAGGAATGCGACAGCAGAAACCCATGTCTTTCATACGTCTGTGTGTGGTGGTTCTTGAAGCACTCACTCCAGCTGCAGTCCACTCTTTGTGAATCTCCCCCACATTTTTGAATGGGTTTTGTTTCACAATCCTCTCCAGGGTGCGGTTATCTCTCTTGCTTGTACACTTTTTTCGACCACATCTTTTCCTTCCCTTCGCCTCTCTATTAATGTGCTTGGACACTGAGCTCTGTGAACAGCCAGCCTCTTTAGCGATGACCTTTTGTGTCTTGCCCTCCTTGTGCAAGGTGTCGATGGTCGTCTTTTGGACAACTGTCAAGTCAGCAGTCTTCCCCATGATTGTGTAGCCTATAGAACTAGACTGAAAGACCATTTAAAGGCTTTTGCAGGTGGTTTGAGTTAATTAGCTGATTAGAGTGTGGCACCAGGGGCCATCAATTTTGAACCTTTTCACAATATTCTAATTTTCTGATATGATGAATTTGAGATTTTCATTTGTTGTCATTTGTAATCATCAAAATTAAACAAAATAAACATCTGAAATATATGAGTTTGTATGTAATGTATGAATATAATATACAAGTTTCACTTTTTAAATGGAATTACTGAAATCAATCTACTTTTTCATGATATTCTAATTTTATGACCAGCACCTGTACTGCCTTTAAAACATTCGGATTCACAGGTGTAAAACCACCGCAAAATATTTTCCTTTCATTGGGACAGGGTGGTACGGCTTTAAAATAAAATCTCCCAATAGTTTCAAACCAAATATATATCTTTTTCCTTTCTGTTATGAAAAAAAATAAAAAAATCTATGCAGCTGTATAAGCTGTGAAAAGGCTTGTGAAACAGGTTAGCAAGCCCTGTCATTGCAAACAATGAAAATATAACACTCAAGTAGTGGTATGACACAGTTAACTGGTAAAAATACACCTTGGAGTGAAAATTTTACTGGCTGACTACAGCTCTATTTTTGAAATGTCTGATTTAAAAAAAGAGAAAGGGGGAAAATGAAGTGCTTTCTGATGTCAGTTGATCTCTGGCATAATCTCAGTAGTCAGTTAACTTTTAATTAAAACGTTACCTTTAGCAAATAGCGGCAGGTGTTTTAGCTCTATTTGCTCCTCTGGGCAACCATCATCCTCCAAGCCGTCCTCTTGCAGTGGACGCAGTATTCCCATTTACCAGAGAGCAGTGGTGTGAGTGTTGCTCCCCGTTGGGAAAAGCCAAAGCCAGGGGGAAAAGTTCAGCGGGCTCTTCTCCTCCAGTCTTCATTCAATCTGTAGAACTAGCAGGGAGGGGCTGGGATGCCGCAGCTCTTCATAACCTCAGCACTTCCTCTCTGTTGAGATAATATGAAAAATCAGGTGGAAAAACTTCAGCAGTTTTGAAACCATGACTTTTTATTTATTTTCTGAAACTGCTAACCAGCCTATGCCTATTGGCAGCTTGAATGTATTTATTAACATCGATTTTCCCTAAATTTTACAATTGTGATGATTAGGGATGCACGATATTGGGATTTTGGCCGATATCCGATATGCCGATATTTTAAAACTCATGTAACTCATGCCGATAACCGATATCAATACCGATGTTAAAGCTGGACAAAAATAAGTAGTCATTGAAAATAGCAGTTTTGTTATCCATTTCTGACACTTTGAAAAATAAAATATTCAAATATATTTTCATATGCTGATATCAAATTGAGTTTTAAAAACGCGGTATCGATCTATTTTACTTTCAAAATCTCGTGAAATTTTATCGTTCTGTTACAAACTCTCGTGATATTTTGCAAATTCTTGTGAGATTTTGTTAGTAAAATAGATCTATACCGCATCAATATATCAATATAAAAAAAATGGCAAAATGTAATGAATTTTCGGGGGATTTCGTAGCATAACGATGACATATAGCAATATTTCATTAGTAAAAGGGATTGATATGGTGTTTTTAAATGGCAATATATCAGCATATGAAGATATTGTGATATTTTAATGTATCAATATTTTTTCCCTCGTCTTTAAAAGTTTTTAAGTCTGTAAAAAAAAAGTTTTTGAGGAAGAAGAAGTAGTATTTTTTTTTTTTTAAGACTTTAGAAACTCAGAAGCTGATCAAATATCGGGTTAAATATCGGTGGGGTGGCCGATGTCCGATATTCAGTTTTAAGGCCGATACAGGCCGATACCGATAGGGGGCCGATTATATCGTGCATCCCTAGTGATGATGATTCTCCTTAAAGTGATATTTTTTTTATGTATCATGATAAATGAAAGGTCAACCAACATCTAATCAATAATTATAATCCTTGTCTTAATGATAGTTATTTGAAGACAGGCACAGGAAACAATATTTAATCATACATTGTTTCTCCTATTGGTGCAGATTTTTATCACATTTAGATATTTCAGATCAGGTAGCAGAATTAAATATCAACTCCAAAGATGAACCGTAAAAAAAAAAAGTAGTTTTCTGCTGCATAACCTTTGAGCAAGTGAGCCCATGGCATAGACATTCTCTTTTAGGATCTTAAAGGGGAACACCGTTTTTTTTTTTTTACATTGGCCCCTTGATTTTACGTTATTACATTATGTTCTACTCACCCATATGAGTTTTGTGGTGTCATTTGGAGCCGTTCTGAAGATATTCGGTTTTGTAATCCAATTAACGTCTTCCTATGGGCAACGAGGTAAAGACACAAACTAAACTGTTCATTATTTATTCTTTATGGTACGCCAGCATTCATAACATGTAGGGGAATCACTGTCCCCCAGGCATCCGCGGTTATATTTTTTATATTTATATATTTTTTTAAACAAAGCGGAGTGTGTATCCGTGCGCCGGCTACCATTCATTCATCCTGTCTGCTGAACTGCTGCTAGTTTTACTCACATGCCTGGAAGATGTCTATTGCTACTACCACAGATGATCTCGCTCTCCAAATAGAACTGAACGATTCAGATTAGCTCGCCGAATGAATATAAGGGGTAGAGCGTAGCCGCCTGTTCCCCGGGCTGCCTGTCACAACTTCAGTCAGGCGCGCGGATGGCGTCATACACACTCTGCTTTGTTTTAAAAAAATATAAATATTAAAAATATAACCGCGGATGTCTGGGGGACAATGATTCACCTACACGTTATGAATGCTGGCGTACCATAAATGATAAATTATGAACAGGTTAATTTGTGCCTTCAAGTCGTTGTCCATAGGAAGACGTTACTTGGATATAACAAAACGGAATATCTTCAGAACAGCTCCCCATGACACAAAACTCATATGGGTGAGT